GGTGACAGTGTGAGACTCCATCTCAAAAAAAAGAAAAAAAAAATAGCCAGATCTGGTAGCATATGCCTGTGTTCCCCAGCTACTCAGGAGGCTGAAGTGGGAAGATTGCTTGAACCTGGCAGGTGAAGGCTGCAGTGAGCTATGATCACACCACTGCTCTCCAGCCTGGTTGATAGGGAGAGACACTCTCTCAGAAAAAAAAATGTAATAAAGAAAAAGAAAACAAAATACGACAGAGAGATTAAGCAACATGGAGGACAGGAGAAGTTTTCTTTTTTTTAGTATATTTAGAATTGCATAAGCAGATAACAGAAGAATGAGACAAAGGCAATACCTGTTGATTAATTGCAAATGAATGAATCAGTATTTATGAAAGTTATAAATCCTCAGTTTCAACAAACAATATGAATCCCAGGAAAACTAGGAAAAAAAAATCCGCATCTTGACATATTAAGGTGAAATTTCAAAACAATAAACACCAGAGAAGATGATTTTATGTGGCTGGAATAAAAGGAAGATTTCTTAAACATATCTCATGACTGAGAGTTGATTACTTATCAATGACAACAAGGCCAAGAATAGTCATATAAAAATATTTTCCAGTTCTGAGAAGCATATATATATATATATATGCTTATATATATATGCTTATATATATATATATATGTACATGCATCAATATAAATATACAAGCTATCAATCTAAAATTTTGTACTTAGTTAAATGAGGGTGAAATAAAAATGCTAGTTAATAAAAATAGATGAGCTATTAATATTTATAACAGACCCATATAAAAGGAATTCCAAAAGATATTCTTAAGGCAGAAGGAAAATAATTTCAGAAGGAATGTCTGAGATACAAGAAGAAGTGATGATCAAATAAATTAGTAAACTTAAACGTGTGGGCAAGGATAAGCAAATATTTATAATGAAATGAATAAGTAAATAATCATATTTAATTAAGGGAGTAAAAATCAAAATCAAGATAACTAATTATTTCACAATATCCTAGAAGATAGGGGTAATCTGAGTTAACATATTGAAATGTATTGGTATAGATTTATAGGTAGTGAAAAGCATAAGTAATCTTTATCCTGTAAGTTGTTTATGGATGTTATAATTTTAAGAGAATCCAGAAATAGAGTGTAGAATTTCTATAATAATAGAAGAACGTTAATTTTAAAACTTAGTGGGTAGAATAGAAGCCAAGAGTAGTGTAATAGAAGCACCAAATGTACAGTATATTTATGTCTTTTAACATAAAATAACGTGGTTAAAAGTATTTCTTGAACTCCTGGGCTCAAATTATCCACCCACCTTGGTCTCCCAAAGTGTTAGGATTACAGGTGTGAGCCACTGTGCCTGGCCCAATAGGAATAGTCATAATAAAATTAAAACTAAACTTAGCAGTTAAAAACTAAGATTTTCAGATTTGAAAAGAAAGTCACTATCATATTTGCATAAGAGATTCACCTAAAACCTGAAGATACTGAAAAGATAAAATTTAAAATATAGTAGGCAAAAAATTACAAAAAATAATTAGTAGAGACAAAGTAGACTTTAAGACAACAAACGCTATTAGGGATAAAGAGGATAACTATTTAAATCAGCAGGATGACAGACTAATTCTAACATTGTATATACCTACTATTATGTACTCAAAGTATGTTAAACAAACATAGAACTACAGGGAGATGTTATTAATATCTATAATAGATAATGGACTTCAGTAAGTTAAGATAAACAAAACAAAACAAAAAACCCAAAAGAACCAATTTAAAAACAATAAGTAGAGAATAGAATAAAAATATATGATCAAATATATATATATGATCAAAAAATATATATTTTGATATATGGTAATTCACTGTGAAGAAACATGAAAATACTGTAAACCCTGATGAAACAATGGGAACGTAAACCAATTTTTAGTGGTTGTATTAGTTTCCAAGGGCTAGGAACATAGCAAAGTACCACAAGCCATATGGCTTACGTCAACAGGAATGCATCGTTTTACAGTTCTGGAAGTTGTAAGTCTGAGATGAAAGTGTTACAGCACATACTGATGGCTCTAAGGGAGAATCCGTCTTATGCATCTCTCTTAGCTTCTGGTGGTTCCCAACAGTCCCTGGCCTTCCTTGGCTTGTGGTAGCATAACTCTAATCTTTGCCCCTGTTTTCAACATGGCAATCTTTCCTTTGTGTCTGTGTGTCTCTCTTCACATGGTATTTTTTCTCTGTCTATGTTCAAATTTCCCTCATTTTATAAGGACACCGCCACTGGATTAGAACACATGCTGATCCAGTAAGACCTCAATTTAACTTGACTACATCTGCAAAGACCCTATTTCTAAATAAGATCACATTCACAGGCAATGTGAAGCCTTTATCCTCTTGGGTGACAAAATTCAACCCAAAGCAGTGGTTATGAAACTTTATACAACCAGTTTGGAGAAGAATTACGTTCTATCTAGTCAAGTAGAACTTAGCCATACCTTAGGACTTGACATTCCACTTGGTATATTTAGATCCTTGCTACTCTAAATAGAGTCTATAAAGCAGCAATATCAGTGCCATTAGGAGCTTAGTAGAAATGCAGAGTCTTGGGTTGCACTGGAGACCTACTGTGTCAAAATCTGCATTTCAAACAAGATCCCCAGGTGATTTATTTGAAAAGCGCTAATCTAATCTAAGATACATGGATGCAAAAAGATATCCACAAGTGTATGCATAGAAGTATTATTTATAAGAGCAAAATCTAACCAGAGAATGGTTAAGTAATTTGTGGCACTATTCATACAATTTAAACCTATAGAACAGTGGCAATAAATGAACCAGAGACGCCTGTATCAACACAGACAAATTTCACAAGGATAACGTTGAACAAAAAAAAGTTGAAGAAAATGTATATAGAATACCATTTCTTTATTGCTTAGAGCCACATACATATGGTATAAAAGTACAAAGTCATTCATGGAAATAATAAACACTAAATTCAGGAGTAAACAAGAACTTCAGTTGAATCAATATTATTTTTAAAAGCTTTTCTTAAGCACATAGGCATTTATTATATTATTCTTTATATTTTTAGTAAATCATATGTAATATGTAATAAAATGTAAAAATTTAAGAAAACAATTCAGGGCTAGTACATTGCAGAGTAGTTATTTGAATCTTGAACTGTGGTCATGAGTGGCTATATTCCCAACCAACACATTACTGCTTGAATACACCAAATGACACAATTTTAGACTGGAATTTTGTAATCACAATTATTGCATTTATATAAATAGCATGTTGTATAGAAACATTAAAATAATGTAGAATATTAAGCACTGATTTTAGTTTTACAACAAAAATGTCACTTGCTAAAGAAAATAAAAATGTGGGCATTTTCATGCATTGTTAAGTTAAACAGAGTAACTGCATTTTGTTTAAGGATTTAGACTTAATTTAATTTCCAGCTATCTTTAGATTAATCGGAAAATTTGAACTTACATTCCAAACATTTTTCTTACCCCAACTATGCTCTTATTCTTTCAAAAGTGAACCACAAAAAATATTGAAAGGACAGCATTGTAAAAATATATTTATTAATGCTTGTCACTATGAATCTGATAATATCTCACAACAAAAACACTGTCTTTTGGTTTTTACTGAATTTTTAAACATTTTATTATGACCTATAAATTTCAAATACTTGTTTTATGCTTTTGAACAAATGGATAAACTCCCGGGAGAGGGTGTAGAGTCCTTTTCAATACTGATCATTAAACTTTTGTTGGCATGTTCTTTTATTTCCTTCACTAACTTCTGATTATGTAAAGAAGTTTCAAAATGCAGCAATCACATCTTGTTTTCTACTTGTCTTTTACTCAAAATTTCCCAGAGAATTTGGAAGATTACCAAATAGTTTAAAGAATGGGGAGAATGTAACATCCACATGCAAATTGCTTTAAATCTTCCCCGGAAAGAGACTTTTTTTTCAATTTTCACTCACTTACTAAGGCCTCCCAGCTCTCTTGAGCAATTATCAGTAGAGAGAGACTTAATGTTTTTACTTTCCATCAGTATTATTATTATTATTACTATTTAATCTTTATTGTGTGTATATTATGAGCCAGTGAAATCTATTAAGTGGTTTAATCTTCACAAGTCTATTATTACACTTATTTTATTACTGAGGAAACAAGAGCGTTAAATAATTAGTTCAAGTCACATGCATAGTGAATACATGTTATATTTTGTTCACTCTTTATATACTGTGCTTTTAGTATTGTGTATTCAATGCATTAAGCCAACCTTACAATTCTCAGCAAGACTCAGGCTTCCACTGTTTGTGTTTTGTCATTGAAAACCCCGCGCAATTCTGGGTCTGTAAGTGCCTAACAGGGAGAAAGAACAGTGAAGAAATGATATTATTTGAACAAGGTAGATAGTGAGGATTAGATTAAAAAAAAAAAAGAAGCAAAACACAAGCCTGATGTGGTGGCTTATGCCTGAAATCCCAGCATTTTGGGAGGCCAAAGTGGGTGGATCACAAGGTTGGGAGATAGAGATCATCCTGGCCAGCGTGGTGAAACCTTGTCTCTACTACAGTACAAAAAATTAGCCAGGCATGGTGGTGCATGCCTGTAGTCCCAGCTACTCTGGAGGCTGAAGCAGGGGAATCGCTTGAACCTGGGAGGCAGAGATTGCAGTGAGGCTAGATTGAACCAATGCACTCCAGTCTGGTGACAGATCAAGAGTCCCTAGCAAAAAAAAAAAAAAAAAAAAATCAAAACACAAGAAAAAAAGTCAAGAAAACTGTGCTGTTTTAAAGAAAAATTTATTTTCTTGGCATTTTGGTTTCATTTCTTGTATATTTTCACTGATAATCAGAAGACCATATTTCCCAAATTATCTAAGGAAAAGTATTCTACAAGTTGTTTCTCCTAGTCAATTTCAATCAAAATTCACAGTTCTGAAAAAAAATACTTTAGTATTCTTTTTGACCAAGAGCCCTACTAGGAAGTAATTTAATCATTTTTTTTAGAAAAAAAATTTCCAGACACTTAACAGTTCACAACATTTCAACAGCAAAATATTAGTTGAGAGAGGGGTTTTCAGGACTTGGGGATCCTAGAGTATTGGGAAGAAATGTTGGTATCCTCATTCATTATAGATGGATGGCATAGGGCACAAATGGGAAACTGGCTGCCAGGCCAATATCAAAACCCAGTGGAATGACACTTCTCTGGAGTTTACTTTCCTTCCTGTTATCTTCCCTATCCCTCGGAAATGTCTACCACCATGTAAAGCCCAGTAGCAGCGAGCTTAGGCTCCAGTCAAGGGAAGGGAAAGTCACTCCTGAGTTTCCATGCTTTCTTCTTCCTCTCCTTGAGGTGGTTTTTCTGTATTCTCCTCTTCTTCCTCTCCTTCCTTCTTCTCTGGTGGCTTCTCATAAGCCTTTTCTGAAGGTGTTACTATCACTCCATCCCAGGTAGATATTTCAGAAGCAAGGTAGCTGGCATCACCATCCTGCTTTAGTATTTGGGAATTGGGAAAAATTAAATTTAGAATAATATTTTTAACCTAACAAAATAATTGATTCTAGTTTTAATAAGAGTTTTTAGAAACAACTTTTATAATCTCATAAGCAAATATTTAGCTCTTTACCATACAGAGTATTTCTTCATTAATAAAAACAAATCAGCCATAATTTGGGGATAATGGACAAACTTATCAATCTACTGAGAAACTCTGACTATCAACCTTCAGTAATGATAGGGCTTCAAGGTTCACAGTAAAACTTCAGCTTAACATCTTTTTATTTTGTGTCCCTGGTCAAGGAATTACATTGCAATGCTGGGTGTGTATCAAATTTCCTGTGAAAATGTTAAAAATATTTATCTCTTTTAAACTATTTTAGAGAAATTTCACATGATGGATGATGTATCATACCCCAAATTCATAACCTGACAAGTTTATGCTTGCACCTAGTAAATTCAAAAAGAAATAAAGGCAGAATGACTAGAATTTTTCTTTTCAAATGATATCATCAATAATATCCGTTATAAAGCTTGCTTTTCTTTAGGTTAACTTTAGAGGCCTTGAAGAATAGGAGCTTATCTCCTTATGCAGGAGCTTTGGTTTACAGCATTTACTACAGAAATATTTGGTATTATGTATCTTTAAGAGTTAAACATAGAAGAATTGGCTAAGTGAAAATGAAGAAATGCAATATCATTCTGCATATATCATTTATTATATATCACAGTATTATTAGTTTTAAAAAGTTATATATCAGTCACTTGCAGGCTATGGAACCATAGTCAGTGCTGCAGACTTCCATACTTCTATTTCCTCCTAGTATTTATAAGTGTGCCTTTAAAAACTTCTAAATTATAAAAAATAAAATATTTAATATATTATGTGTATGACTTGTGAGGGAAAACTTGAATTACTTGGGATTTTAAAGACTTTGTTAAAAATGCTGCATCATAGCATATTAAAGCAGAATAACAAATGCTAGACCTCAGGAATATTAATTCCAGATTTTACAGCATTTTAATTTTCTTGATGAGAAAATAGAAATTTATCAGTTTTTAAATTATTTGGGATCTAACAGATGAAAGCACAATTCTAATGAACATATTTATTGATTTACTTGTGATTTACATATTCACATGTGTTAAGTCTGACACAATTCTTAATTATGTTCCTGATATGCATATATTGGCTTCTTAAATTTTAAATTTCCTTTATTTTACTTTGTTTATATTCTCAACTATAATTTCAGATTTTAACTATTTTCCCATTTTAATTTTTGGACCTTCAACTCTATTTTTACTGTAAATATAGTTCTGTATTTGTGAAGAGACTTTAGAAGTGAAAATGGAAATAGATACCTTCACAAATCTTAAAAGGACTTTTTCAGAGTCTGTAAACAGTATTACCACGTATAATTATCTCTTTCTTTTCATTGCCATGAATCATCACAAATGGCAGGCTCATTGTTGTGACATGCTGAAATGATTGAGTGGGAACTGTGCCCAGCACTGAATTGTAAAAAAAAAAAACTCCTTCTCCAAACACACTGTCCTGTACTGTAATGCATTGGCCCAACTAGATTTTTTTTTTAATATACTTTGGTGATTGCTTTTGTATTTGGTCTTGGAGAATTCAGAGCTATGAAATTCAGAGCTCAAATTTGAACATGATATTAGGATTACTGCAATCTACAGTGAATCTGTGCATGTTATCCAGAGTCAACTGCTTTTGAGATTGCATTCTGCACTTTCCTTTCATTTTAGGCATGTAATCAGGATGTATAAGTGAAATGTTGTATTGTGTGTTTAATGTAGTTGCTTAAAAGTCCCATTCTTTCCTGCTCAAATGAGATTAAATTTGTTTTTCTTGTTTAAGGAAACAGCTTAGAAAAAACCCATGTAAATATCTTTATTTACAATTATTTAACATTTGGGAATGGAAGATGAAATACTATTATTTTCTGCAACAAAAGGTAAATTTACGTAAATGTGTCAGTTCCAAAGTTCAGATTATGGCAGCACAAAACCAACACGTGTGAAGGTTTTTGTCTAGCTTTATTACAATGGCATTCCCAGATAGGACTTGTGAATGACAGACGTTTCAGGCTTTAAAGGGAGCTACAACATATAATAGGCTTGATATATAAGGTTCAGAGCAAAGGAGGACACTAAAATAAATTTTTAAAGTAAATAGGAAAAAGATAAAACTCAGTGCTACCTTGCCTTTTAATAACCGTCTTCTCTTTCTAGAAGTTGTTGGATTTCCTCAATACTTGCTTAATTTCTGCATAAGGGTTTCTAGGTGGCACTCTAAAACATTTGCCGGAAGGTGGCGTCATAAACCCTCATTGCTTAGAGCTGTCCCAGGTGCTGAACTCAGTTTCTGTGGTTAACAGAGGCTAGGCGGTTAGCGAACAGAGATTCAGCAAGTTTCCCCCAGCGGTTTGCAGGCTCTGGTAAGAAGTGCAAAAGGCCATATAAAATGCCAGACTTCACTCAGAACACATATGCAAAATATTTCCATCTCTGAATTTGCTAGCCACAAAGGTATGTTCCCATAGCTATGTTCCCATGGTGTCACTGAAATTGAAAGTGTAGTAGTGATGGAAAAGTGTGTGTGTGTGTGTAGAATACATATCACATTGAGTTTTGTTCTTTATTTAGACATGCAGTTGTTTACCCCTCCTTGTCCCTTGTCCTTTGCCACGTCCTTTATAATTTCATTCTCTCCCAGCTCCCCAAGGTTAAAAAAAAATGTCACAGGCAATATCCTCCTGAGGGAGTCAGGCTGGACTGTTAGATGATAAACTGAGGTACTTTCGTGTTTGTTTGTTTGTTTGCTTTGAGACGGAGTCTCGCTCTGTCACCCAGGCTGGAGTGCAGTGGCGCGAGAACGGAGGTAGCTTTTTAAAAACGAAGACACACTCTCTCTGTCTTCTTCCATCAATTAGCAATAATTGAGAGACTGACCCAGGACTGTTCACCTTCCCATTCAGGCACCCTGTGCTTCCCTATCTCATCTCCTATTGTCACTCTGGGCTGCTGACACTATTTAAGAATTTGACAGATAATACGTGGCAATGAGTAGTTAGAATTTCCTCTTCTAAATACCCCCTCCCCAGTTTGGGTTGGAGGCGGAGTTTATTTGTTACAGCCTTGGTCTGACCGGCAGGGATCCGGTGTGTGCAAGTGAGTTCTGAGTCTCTTTTGACAAAAAGGGACTTGAATGCAAAGACGCAGAGCTAGAGGTATAGGAGGGCGGGGACCCACAGAAAAGAGGCACTCCTTGGGGTTCGGGAAGTGTTAGGAGGGGAGGGTTAGAGTGGGAGGGAGGGAGCCTGGCTTTCGAAGCGACTCACAGCGGGATAAATAATGTGGGGTGAGGAGGAAGAGGCAGACTGAAAGGAAGGCAAGTGGGGAAAAGGGGAAAGAAAGAGGCTGAAGAGAGAGAAGAAAGAGGAGGAGGGAGAAGGAGAGGGGGAGAAAGGGAAGGAAGGAAATAGGGAGAGGAGGGTCACTCAGTGACCGTGGAGGATGGGGCTTCTCGGTTCTAGATATTTCTGGGATTGGAGACTATTTACTCGTGGGAAGACTCCAGCTCCGGCAGCCAGTTGGGAAGCGGCAAAGTAAAATGGACAGCGACAGACAGACGTTCCAGCCACCTCTCCACCCCCCAGAGATCCCGGAGCTGCTTTCAGGCCAACTCCAGTTTCCCAGCTAGAGCCTCTGAACGCCTTGGACTGCGCGAGCCCAGGGAGCGCCTGAAAGCTGCTCCTCCGGGATACCTTCGCCGGAGCAGTAAGAACTTCCTGCTTGGGTCCTTGGATTCCCTTCCTCCGAAACTTCCTTGGAGACTGGGCGGAAGACCCCAGGGGAAGGGGCGAAAGGGATCTTCGCTCTGCTTTTTCTTCCTTCCTCTTTCCCGCGCGGGGCTCACAGGCATGGATGTGCTCAGCCCTGGTCAGGGCAACAATACCACATCATCCCCGGGTCCCTTTGAGACCGCCAGCAACACTACTGGTATCTCCGACGTGACCTTCGGCTACCAAGTGATCACCTCTCTGCTGTTGGGCACGCTCATCTTCTGTGCGGTGCTGGGCAATGCCTGCGTGGTGGCTGCCATCGCCCTGGAGCGCTCCCTGCAGAACGTGGCCAATTATCTTATTGGCTCTTTGGCGGTCACCGACCTCATGGTGTCGGTGTTGGTGCTGCCCATGGCCGCGCTGTATCAGGTGCTCAACAAGTGGACTCTGGGCCAGGTCACCTGCGACCTGTTCATAGCCCTCGACGTGCTGTGCTGTACCTCATCCATCCTGCACCTGTGCGCCATCGCGCTGGACAGGTACTGGGCCATCACGGACCCCATCGACTACGTGAACAAGAGGACGCCCCGGCGCGCTGCTGCGCTCATCTCGCTCACTTGGCTTATTGGCTTCCTCATCTCCATCCCGCCCATGCTGGGCTGGCGCACCCCGGAAGACCGCTCGGACCCCGACGCATGCACCATTAGCAAGGACCACGGCTACACTATCTACTCCACCTTCGGCGCTTTCTACATCCCGCTGCTGCTCATGCTGGTTCTCTATGGGCGCATATTCCGAGCTGCGCGCTTCCGCATTCGCAAGACAGTGAAAAAGGTGGAGAAGACCGGAGCGGACACCCGCCGTGGAGCATCTCCGGCCCCGCAGCCCAAGAAGAGCGTGAATGGAGAATCGGGGAGCAGGAACTGGAGACTGAGCGTGGAGAGCAAGTCAGAGAGTGCTCTGTGCGCCAATGGCGCCGTGAGGCAAGGTGACGACGGCGCCGCCCTGGAGGTGATCGAGGTGCACCGGGTGGGCAACACCAAAGAGCACTTGCCTCTGCCCAGCGAGGCTGGTGCTACCCCTTGTGCCCCCGCCTCTTTCGAGAGGAAAAATGAGCGCAACGCCGAGGCGAAGCGCAAGATGGCCCTGGCCCGAGAGAGGAAGACAGTGAAGACGCTGGGCATTATCATGGGTACTTTCATCCTCTGCTGGCTGCCCTTCTTCATCGTGGCTCTTGTTCTGCCTTTCTGTGAGAGCAGTTGCCACATGCCCACCCTGTTGGGCGCTATAATCAATTGGCTGGGCTACTCCAACTCTCTGCTTAACCCCGTCATTTACGCATACTTCAACAAGGACTTTCAAAACGCGTTTAAGAAGATCTTTAAGTGTAAGTTCTGCCGCCAATGATGATGGAGGAGTAGCCGGCCAGTGCGGGGGTTACAGGATCCGCCCCATTCACTATGCTTGGACCAACCCTAGGGAATCAACACCTAAGATAACTTGCTACTTCTCTTTCTCAGCTTCTCTGCCCGCGGCTTGCGGACCTGGTCCCCTCCCCATTTCCCGCACCAGGGCAGGGCGCTTTGTGCAAAGGAGACCCAGCGACGGGGCATGAGAGACCAGGAAATTCAGAGAGTTTGTGAAAAGCGACATTGGCCCAGACTTTGCCCTTAGCATCAGTTTGATCTCAGCAATTGCCTCTTCTCTCCTCTGTCCCCTAAATCTTTGCGATGGATGTTTAATCCTTAGCTATTCAAGGTAGAAAATCCAAAAAATAAAAAAAATTGATAAACTGTACACACAGCCGCCGCGCCCACTAGGGGCTCCACCCGATCACCCAACTCCTAGAACTTGGACTTGAGGTTCGGGAATTTGCTCCATCTCTCTCGCCCTCTGGCCCTTGAAATATTCACTTTTTTCTCCCCGTTTTTATCCTTTCTTTTCTTTCATTGCTTCCTTCTCGCCCGTCCTGATGCACTAATCTGCTGGTCCGCAGAGGCGGAAGAGTCTGCTTTTCCCAGTGCCAACGGTGCCCCTGGGATTCCCGTCTTCGCGCAGACTTGAGACAACTGTCGTGCAGTGCACAACCCCTGCTTCCTTTGTTTCCTTTGAATCAAAACGAGTGACCAGAAGGTGTCTCTCAGAGTGGACTTGTAAGTACAGCCCAGGCCAGTGGGGAAGAGCGAGGAGGAGGAGAGTGTGCAGACCATTTTGTCTATTCTTGCCTTGGTGTCAGCACTCACCAAAGAAACTGACAATGGTACAGTGAAGAGAGCGGACTGCTGCTTGTACAGGTAGCTGGCTAGTCTGGAGGTCCTGGCATCGCCACTTACGTACTGCGGGAGGCGCCCGCTGGCCGCTGTTTGCGCTCTGGGGACGCTGAGAGGCCTGGGATCGCTGAGAGGCCTGGGATCCGCGCGCCTCGCTAGCCATCTGTGATCTGGGAGCGCGCTAGGTGCGCCCGGCTGCTGACTTAGCGGGTTTGGGTTCCTCCGCCTACGCTCTGGGGCGCCCTGAAGTACGGGTAGTCACATTAGGTTTTTTGCCTTAGCTGGCGGCGCAAGGTCCTGCGGAACTCTTGGGATTGGAGAGACCAAGAAGGCTTTAAGGGGCGGCGTGGAGGGGCGGCAAAGCGGAAAGTTTCCCCAGGGCACGAGTGCCGGAAGCTACAGCTGGCTCCCCCAGTAAAACCTGAAAGGACAAATTTATCCTTACGATGTAGGCTTTTTCCTCCTAATTCACGCTCTTGTCCCTATTGGATGGGGGAATAATTCTGTTTAGCGCGTCCCAACACTCACTGCATTTGTTCCACAGTACATCCAGGACACAGAGTTGGCAGAACTTTTTTTCCAAACAGTGATTTAGGGCTTTCAATGGAATGCCCAGATAGTCCATAGGTTAGCACTCTCTGTGACAACAGGCGGATAGTTTAAATAGCAGGGTCCTAAAGGACTAGTTAGGAGGTGGTCTTCCTGGGGAGGCTAAGAATCTTTTATGGGAGGAGTATTTGCTTCCTGGCATGACCATTCTGCTGTGCCAGGGGTCTAGGGAAATCACATTTTTGCCCTTTGAATTGTGTGGCGCTCAAGGCTTTCTCTCCCTCAGTTATTCTTTAAGTTTTGCCACTCCTGCCAAGAAACTGGTTAAAATCTTTGCTGCCCCAGAAAGGGAAGTTATTTAGCTACCCTGTTTGGGTGTAAATTTCCAACTACACGACGGGGATCTAGAGGTTTGTCATTGTTTGATCTAGCCTCTAATTTTCTTATGAATAGTGGTTTTGTTTTCCAGAAATTGCACAAAGTAATCAATCCCTACTCCCCTTTCCCTTCAACTGTACCTTTCGAATATTTGCATTTGCTGTTTTGAGAACTGTATTACATTTATAAATTGCAAAAATCGCCAGTGGAAAGATCACTTGTTTATCATTGTGAAGGTGAAAGGACAGCTCTGTCACTTAAAGCCATTTTATTGTTTGTCAGACTAAACAAAGCTTTCCTTTGGTGTCTCTTTCTGGATTCTAAACTGGAAGTAGACATCATATCCCAGCTAAATAGGGAAAGTTTTAAAACTTTGGGAATAGTTTGTCTATGTATGTATAATGCTGAGGAGGGTCTGCAGTGAAGAAGATAAGATAGATTTCTCCAGTACAACTATTACTCATTTGAAAATTCAGTTTTGTTTTTGCTCACATAATCTCAGTAGAGCTATATCAGAAATCAAGTTTTTCTGTATGTTATACTAAATTTTTAGAACAAAATCTATATTTAAAATAATCCAAACCCCAAATTTGCTCATCTAAATTATGTCTTGGCCAGAAAGTATTACATTAAAAGTTTGGAGATTTCCATTTATTTGTGTCTTTTACAGAATTGTGTGACAGTCATTTTTTTGGACATTTGCTTTTTCTGCTTTGGAAGATTTATACAAGAATGGAGAAGAAATACAACTGGAGCACAATTGTCAAGGCAATAGATAATTTAGAGAAATAAAATAGCTGCATATCTCTAAAGAGTGCCTGATGCTTTCTTTCTCTTTAAAGTATTTGTATGGAGCTAAAGTACTGATGCATCAAAATTGGTCTTCATTTTTCCTTGTGACAATAAAATACTTTAATAATGGTAATGCTACAATAAACTGGTATCAGTAACACATGCACCTTTATTTCAATCAAAATCTGTATCTACTTGTATTTATTTGCATAATTTAAA